GCACGGCGGCTTCCAGGAAGAGAAGAGCGGCCCGGGGGCGGGGGGAGGGCCGAGGAGCCGGCCCCGGCCCCGGCCCTGCGCGGGGAAGCCCGCCGGGGACTTTCCAGGCGCCGCTGGGGACCGAAGCGGTGACTCAGGGGACCCGCCGGCTCTGCGGCCGCTGCCCCGGCCTTTCCGGGCCTGTGCGCCGAGCGGGTGGGTGAGCGAGCTCCGCCTCGGCCCCTGCCTTCCCCCCTCGTCGCTGCTAGTTCATGTCGGGGACCGGAGGCGGTGGCTTTGGTGTGTGCAGCGGCTGCGATGAGCAGTGCCTGCGATGAGCAGTGCCAGCCATCATCAAGTTAAAGCATGGGGTGTTTGTGAAACTGGAGGCAAACTCATAAACCCCAAAGCAGCGGGGTTTCTCATGGGCTCGTGGTGGGTGTTTATCTCAGATGTTTCACATCGGGCTAGCTTTATGGCCAGCTCCTAGCAGTACATAGAAAAATTAGCAACTCTCTTGATTTGGCCTCTTTTTTTAACCGGCTGTCATTTCCCTTCTATGTCTTTTAGTGGTACTTCTTCCACGCAGTTTTATTTCTAATGTAATTTTTATACTTTAAAATGGATACCAAGCAGGGTTTACCCAATTGGTATCCTAGCACACCGTGATACTAGCATGTACTTTTGAAATGTCCTCTTTGTGTTTGGATTACAAAGTTTTTATATAGATGTATTTTATCATTTTAATAAACACAATAAAATTTTACTTTGCAGTCACTGCATGCAATTGAGCACAGTCCTCCTTTTTTTTTGCAGCACCAGCAGGTACTTCTAGATGATCTATGTTGTTATTTTCCTGCCAGAGGATCTCAAATCATTTCATAGACTTCACTTGATACTAATGTGTAGCCACTTCATGAGTGGGACATGGCAGCACAGCAGTGCAGAAACTTCAGGTCATAGGAGGTTTAAGTGGAACTCATGTAGCCCTTTTTTCATTGGGAATGCTTTTTTTCAAAAAAAAAGGAAATTACCTACTATCATGATAATGCATTTTAGTAATCACGTATCCTAGACTTAAATCTCTCAATTTTTGGAAAACACTGGCATGCATCCTGTGCAAAAATGCAGAGTCCTCTGCCAACTTTATGAGCACCTAGCCTATGTAATACCAAATTTTTAAGAACTTTCAGACTTTGTCTACCTGCTGATGATAAACTCAGCAACAGAGCAGTCATTTCTGCTAGTAAGAGCACGCTGAAAGATCCAGCTTCTGTTTTGCTTAAAAGAAGGCATCTGGAAATAGGACATGTAAATTGATGTTGTCTTGCCATTTTAATAATCTGGCACACATTGAAAACCCTGAGCTTCCTTGAGACAGAGTAGCATTGCACAAGTCGCAGAAAGTAGAGTCAGCTTCCTTGCAGGAGGGTAGTACAGCAGACGTGAAGAAATTTTTGAAAATGCTGAGAAAGTATTTGGAACAATATAAGGCAAAAAATGGAGCACTATAACATATATCAGTGCTTGCAGCTAGTAAAAGTGAGTAGTTTAGTTTATAACAACCGAACAATAATTTTAGTCGTAAAATCTCATCTCAAAATGGTCTTTAAATTCAAAGTGAAATTGCTTCACAGGCTGACCTAGCCACTAGTATTTAATTAGCTTCTGGATGATTATTCTTTTTTAATGTTTGTGTTCATGATTAAAGTCATGCTGTTTGCATGCTCTGATTCTGCAAAAATAGCCATCAGCTGGTGAACAAAGGGCAGATAATATTTGTTAAGTGTGGAAATTTTTTCACTCTTCTCAGAAACTGCTCCGAGTCATAGCAGCTTCGTCTTCACAGTTCTGAAAACATCCGAAATTGTGTCTTCCTGCTAGCATGTGGTTTTACTTCAACCTAATTTTTTTCTATACGGCATAATCAGTGTGTTACTGGACACGTCGGAGCAGATTGGACCTGTGTGGTGCCCACAGCACACAGCACCGCTCTGAAAGAGGAGAGTTTTGTGTCTTGATTTCTCTCTTCTCCAACCCCATGAGAAGATTTGGCTCTGGACACCCTCAACAACACGAATCACAGGGATTGTCTGGAGTCTGCAATTTGACTAAATAGTCCATTCTTTCAAACAAAAGCTACCATGGAAATTCCTTTGTTCAAGAGCTTAATCGGTTTGTTGGAAAAATCCATGTGTTAAGGTTGGGCAAATTACAAAAGGAAGGAAAATATGGTTTTGAATTGTTAAGACGTTTCTATGCCAAGCAACATATTACCGTAATTTGGTCTGAGGTGTTTCTGGTTGGGTTGTTGTTTTTTTTTTGCCTTACAAAAATATATCCATCTTCTGAATATTTCACCTGGGCTTTTAACTGCTGTGCTGGAAAGAAAGAAAGAAAAGGAGTGAGAACCATATCTCAACTCAGATAGGGGCATTTATCTCTCAAAACAGGGCCAGGGCAAAGGCTAAAGCTCAGAAGAGCAAGTTACCCTGCAGTTATGCAAACACAGGGCAGAGGATTTGGTGCTCTCTGTTCCGTAGATAAGCACAGTTTCTCAATTGTCTGATATTTTTGACAGATTTTTGCAAGTGTGTAGAATAAGAATGAATCACATTTAAATGAGAAGGGACACATTTGTATTTGTTTTGTCCAGATGTAAGTAACAAAATATGTAAGGTACTGGAGAATGAGAAGACAAGCTTTTAAAAACCTCCTCTCGGATTTTAGCATGGAATTAAATCTGGAATGGGGCAGAGACAGACAAATCTGCTAACATTTTTCCACCATATAAGCGTTTTTGATTTTCCTTCTTATATTCAGTCTTTTATAAGCCCAGCACAGGGAACCTCATGAAAATCAAAAAATGGCAAGGCCATCTTTCCTTCAAGCTCTGAAAAATCTGCAGTAATAAGATCACCTATTAGAAGCAGGTGGTATTTGAAGTCATATATCTAAACTTGCTGTAGGGAAGGAGTTTCAGGTTAAAAAAAGAAAGAGGGACCTGGTCTTGGAAGACTTTGTGCTCTGCAGTCATCTGCTCTGATGCTAATTTTCTTTTGAGTTATTATCATTGATGCACATCTCATTCTACCAAGGCCTGATTGAGAGATGCAGCGTGTAAAAAGAATAGAAGAAAAGGAATGCAAAACCCTCATGTCTTGCATAAGCTGGCAGTTCTGACCTGCAGTATCTTTCTCCGGTGATGTTGGGCGTTTGAGTATGTCTGCACTATATGGCACAAATATTTAAAAGATCAGGAGATTGTCTCCAAAATTGTTTTTTGCTGGCCCAAACCTCTGTTACAATGTTTTGTTCTCTAGGTGCAAAAATTTGCCTGTTTTGATTTTGCTGATGGTAGAAGTGTTGGAGTAGGAAGTGACATCAGTTTATTCTCTTTATGGTGCATGGTAGTTTGTATCTCTGCCCTTTTCAATGGATATTTTGCTCCAGTGGTGTGTTTAATTAAAATAAAGTCAATCTTTTAGTAAACTTTTTGTAAACTGATTGCATCAATTTCCCTTGTAGGTGGTTGGCCATCCCAAGTACCAAGAATCCAAAAGAATTGCAATCTTCCTGAGCATGCCGGATGAAATCCAGACAGAAGAAATCATTAAGGACATTTTTAAGCAAGGCAAAGAGTGTTTCATCCCGCGTTACAAGCCTCACAGCAATCACATGGACATGCTGAAGTTATCATCAGCTGAAGACATTTCTTCACTTGCTTTGACATCCTGGAATATACTTCAGCCTAGTGATGATGACGATGCAAGAGAGGAGGCTCTTGCTGGTGGTGAGTGTTTTCTTCCTACATTGTGGGGCTGTGAGCAGGAGTAGCCTGGAGGCCAGTGGGTGATACTCTGATAGCAAGAGTGAAATGAAATGTTTCACTTTGATTTATATCAAAGTAGAGGTGCCTAAGTCAGTGTAAGCGGATGCTCCTTTCTCTTGCCTGTTTTTCTCTACCCTGTGCCACCCCAGTGATATACCAGCAGGGCAGGAACAAAACTGCACGGTGGATCCAGCTGAACGAAACTCAGCCCTCCAGATAAGTCAGCTTCTTGGTCCGATTCATGGACGCCCTCAGTGCAGTCTCAGCCACCATAACAGGGGCTTGTGAAGGAAACACAGGCTTGCCAGGGGTGGCTTAGGCTGCCGTTCAAAGGCTGGGGATTCACAACTTTAGGATGCAGTCTGAGAACTTTAGTTTCCACTGCCTGGTAGGGAACTTTTCAGGTGATGCCTGTAGGCTGACACAAGAATTTTCTGAAATCTGTCATCCTGCAAATTGTATTGCATGGATGAAGCACAGTGCTGATACGGAGCCTGCCCGTGCAGAACAGCTCTAAGGACTGAGACCTTAGACTGGAAATAAAAGGACTTTTTTGTAGGCCTGGATAAATACTGCAAAGTCTTTTCCATCATTATTCTCTCACATTTTAATTTTGATCTTATAATGCCACCTCAGACACTGAATTCATCATAGGGTCGAAAAGTTAAAAGTTTGTTTAGATCTAGCTAATGGCATGTGTGTTTTGGTCCCAAAATAACCTCTCTCTTTCTTAACCTAAAATCCCCCGACTTCTACAAACTTGTACACAAACTTACTTTTTCTGTGTCTGCATTCATTATTTGCATTCTTTTTGTAAACACATTAATATCTTCCTGAAACATCTGCAGAAAAGTTTGATGTTATTAATGGAAAACTCATGTTGAACTCATGCTTGAAACCTCAGTCTGGGAAAATTTTCTTTAGATGGAAATTCACCATGCAGACAGCTTCCACACCTCACAGACTGCCATTTTTTTAATGCTTGCTAAAGGAACATAACATTTATATGACTCTGTTTGGTTGATCTTGGGTTTATATTTGCTTTGGCATGCCAGTGTACTTTCCCAGAACACTTCACTGTGTTTGTTTCTCTTTTCTTTTCAATCTCTACCTCTTTCCTAATTCAGAATCCTTTTTGTGCCCACATTTTAGCTAGCAAGGGATTTCACTGCTTCGTACAACCTTCTTTACATTTAATATTTAGCACTGTTACTTGTTTTCCTATTTTTTTGTCAAAAATTTGTGTATATTGGTGGGATTTAGGGGCTTTTGAAGGTAATTCTTAAAATGTCCAGATTGGCTGAGCTTAGTTCAGGCACTTAGGACAAGCTTTTGTACTACTGATGAGCTGCTGTTAATTGAATTTAACAAGTCTGTTGCAGAGATCACAGTGTAAAAACACAAGAATTTTAGGTATAGTGGGAGCAAGGACTACCTGGTGTAGAGTGCACTGAGATGTACCTGTTGGGGACAGCCCAGGTGCCAGGCACTGAAGATGGAGGAAGACAGGAGCAAGCTTTGGTACCTGGCTAGTTCTGGAGCTGCTGTTTCGTTCTCTGCACCAGGGTATGGTTGTAGGCAGAAAGCAATGCCAAAAAAGTCGCTGCAGCCTACAGAGAGTTGCCAAGAGAGCAGTTGTAACAACTGGTGTATGTCCATGTCAGACTTGTTCTGCCTGTAGCTGAATTTTAGTCAGTTTGTACTCAGTAACTCAGGAATAATTTGGTTTGGATTGGAAGTCAGACCTTGGTCCCTTATCCTTGGACACTTTTTGTAGATTAGAGAGTAAGTTTAGTTTTTTGTCACCATTGCATGATCAGACTCCCTCCCACCTACCAATCTGTCCCCACAGAAACACGTGCTGCATTTCAATGTGTCTTTAAATTCCTTTTGTTGTATTTTTTGT